GTGGGCCCGAGGTTTGGACAGGAAGCCTCGGCGACCATGCCTTGCCGCGATCGCCTCGGCGACCACCCAACCCGACCAAGAGGTTTGGTCCGGGGCCAGATGTCACGCATCGAGGTTGCGTTATAGCGTCTCCTCCTCTACCCTCCTCCCTCCTCCCGGTTCGCCCCCCTCCCCCTCAAGTGGCGGGCGAGAGTGCGGCCCTCCTCACAAGTGGGGTCCGAGGCCTGTGCCCAGGGCGCACTCAGGCCTCCTCCTCCTCCTCCCCCTCCTCCTCGAGGTCGTCCACCTTTCGAGGTCGTCCTCGAGGACGACCTCGAAAGGTCGTGCCTGCACCGAGGTCGTCCACGGACGCACGCCTCCTCGCGCGCGGCCCGGCGCCCCGCAGTCCTGCGGCCCCGCCGCGGCCGATGCACGGCGGGCCGGCGCCGCAGACGGACGCGGACCGCGGGAACGAGAGCCAAGACCTCGTGCTGGGCGAGGGCACGCCCGACCTGACCGAGACCGTCCGTTGACGGACGCCTCCTCCAGAAAAAAGAAGAAGAAACGACATAGACATAATCTTTTGGCGCTCCGCGCGGATTTCTTGGGTCTGCGCCGGACCCCCCTCCCTGGCGCGCGGAGCGCGCCAGGGGCGGCGCCGGAGGCGCCGCCGGGGGGGCCCAGCGCGGATCCAAGAAATCCGCGCGGGCGGTCGAAAGTTTATGTTTACGTCGTTTTTTCTTTTTCAATCAGGGAGGAGGAGGAGGAGGAGGAGGAGGAGGAGGAGAAGAGGAGGAGGAGGAGCAGGAGGAGGAGGAGGAGGAGGAGGAAGAGGAGGAGGGAGGAGGGAAGGGAGGGAGGGAGGAGGAGGCGGGAGGAGGAGGAGGAGAGGAGGAGGAAGGAGGAGGAGGGGAGGAGGAGAGGAGGGAGGAGGGAGGAGGAGCCTCCCTGCTCGCCCCGCCCACCCACGGCGCCGGCTGCTGGCGCCGCTCTGGCAAGGCGCCGCTGGGGCCGTGGGCCGAGACAGGGCAGGCGGGCCGCCGCCGACCCAGGAGCGATACGCGGAGCGCCTCGGCGCCTGCCTCTGAGTATCGTTTATGAAGGGGCCCTGGGACACACAAATAAATACACACAAATAAAAAGATTCCCTATATTTTCCCATATTTTCTGGGTTTTTGTCTTCCCCACCACTTCCCATATTTTCCTATATTTTCTGGGGAGTCGACGATTAATTGTGTCTGTGTGTTTCTTCCCCTCCTGAGTTTAACCGATCCCCATCCCCAGCGGCGTGGCCTGGGCACCACTGGCCGATTCAACCCCCAAGATGGGGATAGAGGCGTTCCCTTCTGGCTTCGAGGGGGGTGTCCCCAACTGGGGGGGTAATTGGGTGGGGGTCTCGAAGGGGATGGGGGTCGGGTAAACGATACTGATGCCTAGCCAGGCCTTTTGAACGTGGCCTCTGGAGGCGCTCTTGGAGGTCCCCTTGGAGCCCTCCGGGGCCTTCTTGACGGGCTTTTTGGGCCCCTCTCGGGGCCATCTCGAGCCGTCTTGACGCGCTCTTGGACCCCCAAGAGGCTCCAGGGGCCCAAATCATCGATTTTCCATACGCTTATTTCGTGCTGACGCAAGCTCCGCACCCTTGCAAAAGCTTCCCATCCCTCACGCGAAACAGCTCGCCTGGCCACGAAAATCGTGAGGCACGGCCTGAGCGAAGGGTAAGGAGGACGAGGACGAGGAGGGAGAGTGGGCAGCGTGGTTGCCAAAAGCAGCTGCCGTGAGCACGGAAGCAGGAACAGACCGACACCTCGCGCGCGCGCAGACCCACAGCGGTACCCGCACACGATAATCCCACACGATCAGAAGGAGAAAGGAAAGGAAGGGAAAGGGAAGCAATAATTACAGAGGGGGCGACGCACGCTCTTGATTGCTCTTGACTGGCCCTTGATTGCTGCAGGTCGTGACAGGCACGCCGCCACGAGGGACCCTCAAGAGGGACCAGCCGTGGCTCCCAGGAACGGTCGGGCGGCGAACGCGCCTGCAAGGCCGAAGCCAGTGGACCAGTCGGAGCCTGCGGCGGGGAGTGTGCGGGACGGCCTCGAGTGAGGACGGCTCGCTTCGGGCACGGAGGGGGGGGGGGCTCGACGAGGAACCGGTGGGCGAGGAGACCGGGGTCTCGCAGGGGCCGAGATGTCTCTGCCGTGCTGGGCCCCCCCCCCACCGTGCGCCCGGGAGCCCGCCCAGCCCCTGCATCCGACGCCCCGGCCCCCCCCCCCCCCCCAAGAAGAGAGCAGCGCACAAGGGCGTCGCCCTCCGAGAGGGCCCGCCCAGTCCCTGCATCCGACGCCCCTGGGCCCCCTCCCCAAGAAGCAAGCAGCGCGCGAGGGCGTCGCCCTCCGAGAGGGATCCCATGCCTGCCACCCGCACCGCACCTCTCCGGCCAGGACCCAGGGAAGGACCGTCGAGGGCCACCTTCGACGCATCGAACCGCTGCCTTACCTTTTTCTTCTTCTTCAGCTCCTCC